CGTAGAGGAAGACGGCAAGGGTCGCAAGGGCTGTGGCATCCACACTGACAGATTCACGCCTGGATGGACCAGCGACCTTGTGCTTGGAGGGCGCTCCCGCTACCTGGGCTACACGTTGCAACGGGCGGATGTGGAGTTCACAATGTCTATGGCTATGATCGTGTGGGACGGATACGTTTTCGAAGGTGCTGTGGAAATTCTACAAGGCGACACCCCTCCTACCCCCCCGTCGTGGCCTAACGAGTGGGCAATGGCAATGAAGATTCCGAAAGGCCTGTGGATGGGCATGTGGGCTCGTGCCATTTGCATCGACAGAGAGAGGTGACAATGATTTCCTCTTGCACATGTACATTTACTCATCAGGACGTTCTCATCATCTGTTTCACCACCCTATCCCTCTTGTCGACCCACGTTTTGCAGGCTGAGTTTTTTTTTTCGAGCACGTCACCGCGTATCAGAGCGGTGGTTTGGACTTCGACACCGCTGTGTATATGGCCATCGGAGCCGTTGCGGCCAACGCGGAGCCGTTGCGGCCAACGTGATGCTGTCGCGTATACAGTAACCGTCACATCCACGTTCGCTGCTGCCTGGTACTTGCAGGATGCTTGCAGTTCGGCTGTGGACAAGGCGAAGTTGCTCGACGGCCAATGCTTTCCCAACCCTTGCAGACGATATCAAGATCGTCACAGGGGCAGTCATGCATGCAGTGTCGCGCTCGGGCCTAGATGCAGCTGCGCTTGCGGATGGGACGACCTTCGTCCGCCGGGTCACTTCGCAAGCTCTGACGACGGCGAACAAGCTGCGGGATCCCTGGGCGACGTTTATCGCTGAGGAGTTTCTGCACAACTTTGCCTACTGGTCAGACAGCCCGGACGGACGTAACTCCATGGAGGCAGTCAACATGGTGGTTCCTGTTTCAGGTCCCATGACGAGGACCACCATGTACAGGATAAAGCGCAGCTACAAGTTCAACAAGTGGACTCTTCCCGGATCTGCGCCGCCACGATCTCGCGCACGTGATGGTTGCGTGGGTCAGTAGCACGGAGGTGGTCGCGTGGGCCAGCAGCACGGATCGTGCACCACACGCCGAGGGGGGTCATTCGGGAGTTGTGAACGTTTTGGCAGTGGGGTACCCCTGACTATGATGCACTTGTTGTTGTTGTTGTTGTTTTTTTTTTTTTTTTTTTTTTTTTTTTTTTTTTTGTTAATGTTGGAATTGGTTCTGAAATCTGCGCGTGTATTAGTTTTGATGGAATATGCATGTTCTTGTCCTTGTTATACGTGGCACCCAAAAATTATATATGCCCGCCGTACCACATGTGGTAGCCGCATGGGTACAAATAGGCCCACCAATCACTCGTGTTTTTTCTTTTTTCACGTCGAATTTCTGCAACTGCTCTTATTTTGCTCCACTTCAGATGGCTTCTCGGCGAGTGAACGTTTGGACCCACACTAGCAGTCAGCACCTCCTCACGGATGACGAAGTTACGAGGATGATGAATGCTACGCGGGACCCTCAGCGAGGTTTCCCTCGAGATATGCCTGATGTACGTATGGGTCGTATGCGCAATAGTACGTGCTGCGACATCTCTGACAATTAGGCTTGCCTTATGCAGATGGGCGTGCGAGAGTAATCACGATCTTGACGTGCACATTCTTACGTATGACGAGTACACAAAAATCTGTGGTTCTCGTGGAGAGGATTTACGCCCTGCTTTCAACGTTGTCAATTTCGACGCAGTACACCCTTGACCCTGGCGCAAGCCGTAGACTGGTCGACGCAGCTGCCACTGTGTCTCAGGAGGGAAAGTACTGGTGAAGCCAGGCAGACGACACAGCCAGATCTGCTCGTGTAGGCTCCCCTGAAGGAACGCGGTGGAGAAGTCCAAGGAGTGCAACTTGTAGTCGCGCTGGGCTGCAATATGCAGCAACACCCAAAGAGTGGTAATCTTCGGGGTGGGAGCAAGGTCTTGAAGAAGTCTATGTTATGGTCACAGTAGGCTTGAATGTGCCTAAAACGAAAGATAGAGTGCACAGTCGGATTTCTGCACAGCGGATTTAAACGTTCATAGCGTTCTGGTCACAGCTTCAAATGACCTGATTCAACTTGGATCTGGAGCGTCTTAAAGTCGCCTACCCTAGGCAATTTATATCGCACGATTTCATTACGAATTGACGATACAGCGTTGGTTTGAACGAACGGCACTATAGCAGCCACTATAGTCTTAGAACACAAATTAGGAAGAGTTACGAGTTAGGAATGACTCCCAGCTCCTACAAACCCCAAGAGCCAAGGTACAGTGATGTGGAACAGTGCCACACTGTCCCCAACCACAAAGGGTCTCGAAACTACCCTTCACAAGGGCCTACACCAAGTGAAATGTTACACTACACAAAGTAATGTAACTATTCTCAATATCTTGAGGTGTACCCTTTTCGCGGGCTTCGCGACCACTTGAACCTTGAAACCAAGGCTCTGGTTCTTCACCATAAACTCATCCTTGAGTTCTTGATGGGTCTGCTGCACACACCTGTGACACGCCGAACGTTCCACACACGACAAAATAGAAACCGTGCACGAGACATACAACAAAACCGCGCACGGGACACAAACGACCGCGTGACACGCGACTAGCGATGACTCGCTATTGACTCGACACACACATTCGACATCATGACTCAACATTCACACACAATTATAAGCATGAAATATATATTATCCCATGCCCTCATACCATTCCATGCACACATGCATGCACGCACACGGACAACAAGCCGAGTGCAAACCGTAGGGTTGCACCAACAGTCTACCCCCTCTCGCTGACTGAAGCCTCTCGCCACGTAGCGCGCCTTGAACACCGGTGGTGCTCCAGGTGGCCGCTTCACCTTGTAGAGCCACATGCCACTGACGACGTTCACCCCAGGTGGTGGGACGGCATCGACGTAGGTGCTTGTGGACCTATAACATGCCATCACTGCCTCCTCAGCTGCTATCCAGTACGAAGCCCAAGGTCCTGAGACCGCCTCGGCGTGAGTGCGAGGGATCGGGATGTAAAGGGCGCCTGGATCCCCCTCAGGGGCAAGCAGCATGGCGCAGAGATGAGGAACAGCGGCCGCAAGGAAACGAAGCTCGAACTGCCTGTCCTCGAGGACCTCCAGGGGAAAAACAGGAACAACCCTAGAGGACGGAGAACGAGCAGTGCCGCTCACCAGGTGAGAGGCTTAGTCAAGGCGGTGGGAAGAGGCAAAACCAGCGACAGTGGTAACAAGAGCCGAGACAGACAGCGGGGGGGGGGTAGTCGGGTGAGTGAACAATGAGGACAAAACACGGGAGGCACGGAGGTAGTCGGATAGTGGGTCAGGAAACATAGTAAGCGACGACTCAGGAGGCTGTGAAAGGACTGGATGAGGTGGAACACGAGAGCGGAGTACAAGGTGAAACGGGCCGTCAGCATGGTAACAAGACCGACGCGGCTCTAGAGACACAGCACGACTGAGGGGAGGACGACGAGTCCACGGGGACGAGGCAAGGGAATCGACAAGGGGAACAGGAGGGGACGGTAGGGGACCACGGACCAAGCGTGCAGGTGCCGGGTCGGGCAGGTCTCTCAGTCGGTGCTGCTCCGCCTCCTCCGGCGTCTGCTGCGGTGGCACCTGCCCCTGCTGCTGCTCCTGCTGCTCCAGGTGTGGCTCCTCCTCTACTCTCTGCTGCGGCGGCTGCAACTGCACCTGCTGCTGCGGCTATGACTCCTCCTCTACCCTCTCCTGCTGCGACTGCAACTGCATCTGCTGATGCGGCCGTGACTCCTCCTCTACCCTCTCCTGCTGCAACTGCAACTGCACTTGCTGCAGTGGCCGTGACTCCTCCTCTACTCTCTCCTAGTGCGGCTGTGACTCCTCCTCTACTCTCTCCTAGTATGGCTGTGACTCCTCCTCTACTCTCTCCTAACGCTCCAACTGAGACTCCTGCTGCTGCTGCTGCTGCTGCCGTGTCCTCTCAAACCGCTCCCGCTCCTCCCTCTCCAAACGAAGAAGACGCTGCTCACGTGTCAGGAAACGTACAGTGCGCGGTGTAGGCGCCGAGGTGCCAGCGCCTCCAACTCCAGCACCCCCAGAAACAGAACCTCCACCGACAACATCCCCAGGGCCTCCAATACCTCCGGCAGGAACACCCCCAGATTCCGCAGCGACCGGCCGCGGAGGCGAACGAGGAGGGAACTGCGGAAGTGACGGGAAGCCAGGGGGTGAGGCGGGGCGAGGCCGCCGAGCTGAGGCAGCCGTGTCCTCCACAGGAGGGGCCTCCACACCCACACCCCCTGCACCCCCATCTGCTACTTCTAAATCCCTGTGCACCATCTACAGTTTCCTCTCCAGGTGGTGTCTGACGTGCGCGTGGGGTGTCCGGTGAATCATCCGCTACTTCTACAGAGGGATTTGGAGTTGCGGGTCCTTGTGCACCATCTACAGTCTCCTTTGCGGGTGGTGCCTGTCGTGTGCATGAGGTGTCCTCTCCCGAGGGGGTCGACATGGTGTTCGGTAACCTATCCCACCATCCGCATGAGCCGAGCGAGCCTTTCGCTTCTGGCATCTAAGGGAGCGGCAAGGGGGGGGTGGGGGGGGGTTTGACGTGGCGCTCTAGGGTTCCACAAACGTTCCGAAAGAAATGAGAGAATGACCACCTCGGTCGGGACCTAAGGGTGGGGCTCTCGGACACGTGGAACTCCCGATTGTCTGCCCGCAAGTGATGGCTCGGCCGAGCCTCGACTCAGTGCATGCGCAGCTGAGTTTAGTGATACGTCCTCGCATCGAGAAGGCATGCACAACTTCTCCTCGTGTTTTTTATGGCTCGGCGTGCGGTCTCCGAGCCATCGACGATGGTACGTGCGCACGACCAGGCCATCTAATGGAAGATGTCCACCGTGGGCGATTGTAACACGTCTTGCAGCCATTGGCAGGCCGTTGGCGATCCCGAACACGTGTCGACGCCAGGGAGTGGGGGTTTACTCCGTTACTCGCTCAACTCAACACCGCAACGCACCACACCACATCGCACCACACCACACCACGCCATACAACACTGCACCACACACACCACACCACACCTCACCACACCACACCACGCCACACCGCACCGCACCACACCACACCACTCCACTCCACACCACACCGAACCACACCTCACCTGGTACGAAGCCACGTAGAGCCGCGTGTGTCTGGAGAACTCCAGCGCCGCCAGCACCAGCCCCGCCTCCTCTGGCGTGAGGGGACACTTGCCAGCCGCCCTCAGCTGCTGCGGGGTGTGCTGCACATTACCCTCCCGCCCCACCCCCCACGCTTTCTCCCAGTATTGCCTCAGCTGCTCCTGCTCCTCCCTTTCCTCCCCATAGTCACACCTCGAGTGTGCCACCATGTCCTGTGAGGGGTGGGGAAAGGGAGGGGAGGGGGGGGGGGGGGGTCGTGTTGGGAGGGGAGAGAGTGTGTTGTTGAGGGGGCGAGTGAGCAACACGAGGCACGCCTTGCTGTGTGCCCACCTCTCCATCGCCTCACCGTTGTTGCAACTTGAATTCGCCACCATGTCTTGCCTGGGGGGGGGAGGAAGCGAGGGGGAGAGGGAGAGAGTTGCATTGAGAGAGGAGTGGGGGTCGCGTTGAGGGGGCAGTGAGTGTCGCTGAAGGTCGTTTTGGGTCTAGGAGGGGGCGAGGGAGCAGCATGGGACACGCCTTGCTCTAAACCCACCCCTCCTCGCCTCGTCCCATGCCCACTCACACACCCTGTTACGTGTCTCACCGCCTCTCGCATATGCATGATGCACGACCTGATACAGAGTGGGACCAAGTGGGCTTGATACAGAGCACGAGGGAGGTGCTTGCTATAAAGCAAGCAGCCCCACCCTATTCTGCGCCCGCTGCTGCACCTCATCACTATCACTGCTGAATGCTGCTTATGCCTAACGCATACTTTTGCCCATCGAGGTGAGGCCAATCCAGAGGAGGCCAATCCAGGGGAGGCCAATCCCAAGGCGCTTTAAGGAAGGTTGTGAGCTTGAGAAAAGCAATCCAGTATACTTTGCAGGTGACTCACCAGGTCGAATCTCAGGTGCATTGCTAGGAACCTCCTCCTCCTTCTCGTCCCGCCCTCCACTGCCACCTGCTTCCCCACCCCTCTCCCCATCAACTCGGCATCCCTCCCCTTCCTCCATCTCAATCCCCTCATGACTGCCCCAATCACCCTCCGCACTCCTTTCACAACCCACAACAACCCCCGCCTTTCCTCGCCCACGGCTTTCCTTCCCTCGTCCCTCCACTCCCTCCCTTCCCTCCCCTCGCTCCCCTCCCTCTCCTCCCTCCCCTCGTTCTCCCCGCTCCCCTCCCTCTCCTCCCTCCACTCGCCCCACGTCGCGCCAAGCTATGCCAGCTGCATGCCCTCCGCGCACTGCTCCAACCGTGCTCGCACGCGCTGCTCTATCCGCAACCGCAAGTCCCTCACCTCCCTCACCCGCTCCCTCACCGCCTTCCACCCCAATGCAATCCCGTCGCCCTCCTGCTTCCCCTTCCTGTGCGAGGTCCTTCCAGAACAATCCCCTCCTTCTGGTCTCCTACCCAGGCAATGCCTCCCCTTACCTCGTCCCCTCCTACTTCCTCCCCCTTTGATTCGTCCAAACCCACATCGTCCCCCTTGCTTCGTCGTTCCACCGGACATCTCCCCCCACCACTCTCACTTGCCCCATGGCCTCCAGCAATCACCGGCGTCTGTAGCCCCCCAACAGCCCCCTCTCACTCGCCCCATCCCCACTCCTCACACGCTCAATCCCCACATTCTCCTTCTCTGCACCGCCACTCCATGCATCCTCCCTTCCCTCATAATCCCACTGAAAATCACTGCCCCTTTCCTTCTCCCCCTCACCTCCTTTTAGCTCCCGCTCCCAACGCCTGCTGCTATCCCCCCCCACCCCGTTTCTCCCATGCAGCGCGTTTTTTCCCTCCCTCCCCTTCTCCCCACCCCCATGATCCCTCCCATCCCTCTGCCCTCCATGCTCCGATTCCTTCTCCCTCCTTTTCTCCTCACTCTCAACATCCCTCCCATCCCTCTTCCCCCCATGCTCCAATTCCTTCTCCCTCCCCTCCTCCTCACTCTTAGCATCCCTCCCATCCCTCTGCCCTCCTTGCTCCGATTCCTTCTCCCTCCCCTCCTCCTCACTCTCAACATCCCTCCCATCCCTCGGCCCTCCTTGCTCCGATTCCTTCTCCCTCCCCTCCTCCTCACTCTCAACATCCCTCCCATTCCTCTGCCCTCCATGCTCCGATTCTTTCTTCCCCCCCTCCTCCCCGCGCTCATCATCCCTCCCATCCCTCTGCCCTCCGTGCTCCGGTCCTTTCTCTCACGCCTCCCACCACACACGCGCGCGCGTACACTGTAGAGAGTTGTCAAACCGTTTTGAGTCACGATGGATACAGCATGCACAGGCATGGCCGGACCACACTCACCCCTACTCCTTGATTGGCTGCACCCACCCCAGCTCCCTGGTTGGCTGCAATCACCCCTACTCCCTGATTGGCTGCACTCACCCCAGCTCCCTGATTGGCTGCACTCACCCCAGCTCCCTGATTGGCTGCACTCACCCCAGCACCCTGATTGGCTGCACTCACCCCAGCTCCCTGATTGGCTGCACGAATCGCAGCGCGTGGAAGTTGATGCGGCACCGCAGCCGTTGGATCTCCCAGGGCAATCCAGTGAAGGCGAGGCGATGGGAGAAGGGCGTTAGCGCCACGATGCCTCGACTGGAGGGAAAGGAGAAGCGTGGAGGGGAGAAGCATGGAGAGGAGATGTGCGTGTACGCGCGCGCGCGTGTGTGTGTGTGTGTGTGTGTATGTGTGTGTGTGAGTGTGTGTGTGTGCGTGCGTGCGTGTGTGTGTGTGTATGTATGTATGTGTGTGTGTCTGTGTGTATGCAAGTGCACGTGCGCGTATGTGTGTGCGCGCGCGCGAGTGTGTGTGAGTGTATCTCTCTCTGTGTGTGTGTATGTGTGTATGTATGTGTCTGTGTGTCTGTGTATGTGTGTATGTGTGTGTGTGTGTTGCGGAGAGTCACTCTACAACGGTAGTGAGCTAGACTACGGGGGTTGGCACGAACTACTAGGAGTGATCGTAGGTTTGCTTAGTTCCTTAGTGCTTGCACATTCACGGGAGAAGTCGGCAAGAGTTTCCACTAGCAAAGTCGAAATTGCAGAATCATTGACATCACAATGACAAGAATGACTACATCAGGCACCTAGCAACTCTGAAGCTAGCCTGGTCGACCGACAGCACAGCATGGTCGACCGCCTGCCAGCGTTGCGTAGAGGAGCCGCGCCAGCACTGCAAAAAGGCGACCTGCCAACACAGCAGGTCGATGGCGTGCCAATGCTGCAGCAGAGTGGCTATCTAGCGTTTCCCCGTAGAAGACAGCAGTGCACACGCTCGCAGGTGCACGCAGACGATTGGCCCGAGTTGCACCGTTGTGCATCCGTCGGCTGTTGTCTGCGCCTGACGAGCCACGTCGACTTTGGGATACCAGCCCGAAGTCGCCTTCGTCACCGCGACCTTGACGACGTTTGCGTGCCTCCGCAGAAGTCGCCGAGCAGGTTATCTGGTCGACCTGGTCGACCACCAAGTGCTCTCTGGTCGACCACCAGTGCCTCCGCTCGACCACCAGGTGCCTCTGGTCGACCACCAAGTGCCCCTGGTCGACCACAGCTCCCGTCGAGCTACCCCCTGGTCGATGGGCCCCTCCGTCGACCAGCATTGTCAGATGTTGTCGCCGAGCTCCCCTCGTCGCCCGCTGCTCATATGTCAGGTCGACGGACTGCTCCGTCGACCTCCCGGTCGAACTGCTCCTCCTAGTCGACGGCCCACCCGTCGCCCAGCCCAGTCAGCTGCAGCTGTCGAGCTCCCTGGTCGACGGCTCCAGCCAAGTGACAGTCCTGTGCAGGTCGACAGCCACTTCGTCGACCTGCCCCGCAGAAGAAGGCCGTCGAGCACTCCTGGTTGACGGCAACACCGCAGTGATCTCCTGCAGCTCGACGAAGCCCGTCGAGCAGCTCCTTCACTGCGAACGGTCGGCTACTTCTACTGTACATCCGGCCAAGTCGTTGGCGTTGTCCAAGCGAGGGCGGGGCCAACACTCCATTCCTGTTAACACTCCCCTGCCGCGCTCACGCGTGGGCCCCCAGCCCACACGGCAGCACTCCACGGAGAAAACTCGTCCTCGGCGTGCACCCCACACACAGCACGCCGGCACCGCACTAGCCGTGCAGAAGGGCACGGCACCTAGTGCTGCACCTCATCGTCCCCGTCGCCGACGTCGGCCAGACGAACTCGGCCAATGGCGACAGAGCACCGGTTGAAAGCCGGGAAATGCAGCGCCTTTATCAGGAAGTCCGCCGGCTGCTCGGTGGTCGGGATGTACTTCAGCACGAACTTCCCGCGCCTCACCATGTGCTGCAGCCAGGCGTAGCGTCGCTCCATGTGCTTGAGATTGCCCGTCAGCCCCAAGCCCTCAGCGACCGTGATTGCCGACTTGTTGTCCACGCGGAGGATGTTGGGCTTCCCAGCGTCGAGCAGCTTGAATTCTGCAAGGAGAAAGCGAAGTCGACGCCCCTCCTTGCCGACGTTAGTGGCCGCAACATACTCCGACTCGGTCGAGGAGAGCGTCGCGCACTTGATGCGCTAGCTCGACCAGGAGACCGCGGCCCCTCCGAAGACGAACACGTAGCCGCCCGTGCTCGTCCGGTTCTGCTTGTCGCTCGCGTCGTCGGCGTCTACGTAGCCGATCAGCTCTAGCGACTCTGGTCCACCGCTGAACTCCAGGGCGGTGTCGCGGGTGTCAGCGAGATAGGCGAGGCGGCGATCGACCTCGCGCCAATGCTGGTCGCTCCTCACCGTGAGGCCGCTCCCCAGCTTGCTGCAGGCGAACGCGATGTCCGGCCTCGTCATCGTCGCCGCGAACTGCAGCGAGCCAACCTTCTGCCGGTACTCCTCCTTCTCGCGCTCATGCGCCTCCTCGTTGTCGAATGTCAGCTCGGCGTAGGCGTCGACCGAGACCGGCATCTTCGGGAATCCACCACCCTGCTCCTCGTCGACAAAGCGCCTGCGCAGCTTGTCGGCATAGCCCTGCAGGTGCAGCCACAACTTCTTTGCCGGCCTGTCGCGCACGATCTCCAGCCCAAGGTACTTCACCACCAGCGAGATCTCACGCAGCTCAAAGGCGGCCTCCAGTAGCCCCTTCAGCTCCTTCAGCATCGCGGTGTTGCTGGTGGCGGCGAGCAGGTCGTCGACGTAGACCAGCACCCAGCAGGTCACTCCGTTGTCGCCGGCCTTGAAGTAGAGCGCCTTGTCGACCTGGCTCGTCTTCCAGCCAGCGCCCAGCAGCACACCGTCGAGTGCCCTGTACCACAGCAGCGGCGACTGCTTCAGCCCGTAGAGGCTCTTCAGCAGCTTGCACACCCGGCCGGTCCCATCGTCGAAGTATTCCAGCTGGTACATGTACATCACCCGGTCGAGCTTGCTCTGCAGGAAGGCGTTCTTCATGTCGAGTTGCATCAGGTTGAGGTTGAGGACAGCGACAAAGCTGAGGAAGATCCTCAGTGTGACGTAGCTGCTCACCGGCGAGTACGTCTTGTCGTAGTCGGCGCCGTACACCTGCGTGAAGCCCTTCACGACCAGCCTCGCCTTCTCGCGCTCGACGGTGTCGTCGATGCGGTACTTGGTCGTCAACACCCACCTGTTCTTCATGATGTTCACCCCACGTGGGCGTTCGACCAGCTCCCAAGTGCCCATGCCGATGAGGCTGCGGATCTCCTTGTCCATGGCGGCCTTCACCGCTTCGCCCTTCCAGCTCGCCAGCGCCTCCTTCACCGTCATTGTGGCGATGTCCCAGCGGTGTTCGGGGTCAGCATGTACGTCGGGGTCGAGCTCCGGCAGGTCGACGTCATCTTTGGCGTCGTCGTACAGCAGGTCATCGTCGGTGTTGTCGTATACCGTGGTGAAGGCAGCTGGTAGCAGGCAGGCGTGGAAGACCAGCCGCTCCGACGGCTTCCGAGTTCGACCTGTGCGTCTCAGCTCAGGCCTCTCGATCGGAACCTCCACCACATCACTGTCGGTGGACTCTTCTCCTGCCGACAGCTCCTCTTCCTCGTCAACGTCCACGTCGTTGACCAGCTGCTCCGACCCTTCGACCGGCTGCTCACCTCCTGCTGACTTCGACAGCTCCCCTGTCGACCGCCCCGGCTGCTGCTCCCCTATCGACTGCACCCCTGTTGCTGCCTCCTGTTCGACCGGCTCCCCTGTCTCCTGCTCCCTTGTTGTCGACGGCTTCCGGCCCTGGACGACGAGCTTGGCGCCGTGTCGACTGCCGGCGATGCCACTGGCCGGCACCACAGGCGACGCCTCAAGGCTCCCTTCATCGCCGGTGGCCGACACAGGTGTCGACGAAGGCCGATCTGCGACGGGGGAGGGAGGAGCAAGAACAGGGGGAGGTGGAAGAACCTCCACGACATCCTCATCAGCAGGCTCGTCGACTTCGGCGAGCAGTGGAACCGTCGCCGTCGAGGTGTCCGTCGGCGGATGTGCCTGCGTCCGCCCCGACGACGGCCCATACTTCGCCTTCCACACCTCCAGCGACAACGTCTCGTAGAAGATCACCTCGACCGACGTGACCACCTTGTTGTCGGTCAGGTCGAGCACCTCCCAGCCCTTGCTCGCCGGCGACACACCCAGGTGAAGCCCCCAACGAGCGTTCGGCGCCAGCTTCCCACCGCGCTGCTACTCGGGAACCATGAACTGCACCATGCAGTCCCACACCCGCGCCAGGGTGAGGTCGGGCTTCTTCCCAGTCAGCAGCTGGTACGGAGTCGTCCCCGGCGGCGTTGTCGACCGCTCCAAGCAATTGCGCACCCAGATAGCTTGGCGTAGAGCGAGGTGCCACCAGTGGTGCTGCACGCCCATATGCAGCAACATCGTCCGCACGGACTTGACGGCCGTGCGCATCTCCCGCTCAGCCATACCGTTCTGCTGCGGAGTGTAAGGGCACGTCAGGTCGTGGAGAATGCCCATCCCGTCAACGAAGTCGGTGAAATCCTTCCCGAGGAACTCCCCTCCCCGGTCTGAGAGGAGCATCAACACCGACTTCCTCGCCGGCCGTTCCACCAGCACCAGCCACTTCTGGAACTCCCGCAGCACGTCGCTCTTCTTAGCGACCGGCATCACCCACACAAACCGAGTGTAGCGATCCTTCAGCAGCAGGAAGTACAAGCTGCCATCCTTGGCAGCCACCCGAAATGGCCCGCACAAGTCAATGTGCACGACAGCCAGTGCCTCCTCGGCGTCCGAGCCCTTGGTG